GGCCAGTGACTCCGTGGCACCATGGCCGCCTACGGCCGTAACGCGCTGCTCGCCGCAGCCAGGTCCAGGTAAGTCATGGGTTGGTTTTCATGGGCACTCTGTGCTGCAACGTCCCCGCTGCTCCTTGGGTGGAGCGGAGATGGAACGGGGTGAGGGGAACCTGGGGGAGCAGGGGGGCTCCCTGCACGGTGACACTTTCCTTTATTCACGGCGACCGGTGCTGTTCCTGCTGTTGCTAGCATACGCGTTCCATGTAACATCCGTGCTTTAAACTGGAGTACTACAAACGTCTGCCAAAGGTTACCTGGCTACATGTGAGAAATACGAGGTTTGATTTACCTAAACCAGAGATTTCAGCGGTTGTCACGATGCGCAGCAGTCTGCGAGCTCTTGGGTCTCATAGATAACCGATCAAGCTCTCTACCCCCTTGCCCCTCTTCGGTGTGCGGCCCGGCTCTTCCAGGGGACATTGCTCGGGGAGGGAAGGGGCAGGAACTGCAGAGAAGGCTTGGTGAGAGGAGAGGGGCCTCCGACTTTTCTTTGTTTGCAACTGGCAAATTTTAGCTGATGCAGTGGGTAGAAGGGCTTCCTAGAGGCAGTCTGAAGTCTTCCCCCAGAGAAAAGTTGTTAGCATGGGACAGACTCTCAATATTTTATCTGTTGCTGAAGGATCAGAATCTCAGATGCTGAGGCAGCCATAAGATTAATGTGGCACTAAGAACGCTAATTTGTGTGTAATGCCTAGTTACCGTAGCCACGAAGCGCTATTACTTGCTTAAATACCTCTCCAGTTTCAGAGGCTCCCATCTTCTTGCGCGCTCCCATCCTCCGTACTCGCCAGCAGTTGCGTTTGTCCAGCTAGTGGGTTCTCATTTACACCGGCCTTGCGTGAGAGACTCTGAAAACCGGGCATCGCTGCACTGCGCGGGGTTGGGCACTGGCCTGCCTCACTCACCAGCTACAGTTGTGCGAACGTTTCACGCGTCCACCTGCTTGCGCCTGGAGCTCCGAGGTGAACCTCCGCCCCAACGAAGTACTGTGAACCAGGGTACTAAGCCTCCTGACACTCCAACGAAACAAGTCCCAGAGACTGCCGTGGGAAAAAAGCCTTTACGCCAAAAAATTGTGGATGAACTGAAACACTATTACAATGGCTTCCACTTGCTTTGGATTGACACCAAGGTGGCTGCCAGGATGGTGTGGAGGCTCTTACACGGTCAGGTCCTCACTAGGAGGGAGAGACGAAGGGTAAGTGCCAGGCATACAAACACCGTACTAAAATGATGCATTAGGAGGCTTATTGTAACAGAAGTTGTTTAACCACTCCGTTTCCATGCTTCTTTGGAAGACCTGTATTTTTTTGTCTGGCTGAATAATAAGTTCTGCTCTGCTCTTCCCTGTACAGTTGCTGAGAACTTGCGCAGATCTCTTCCGGCTGGTTCCCTTCCTGGTGTTTGTCATCGTCCCCTTCATGGAATTTCTGTTACCTGTATTCTTGAAACTCTTTCCTGAAATGCTGCCCTCGACATTCGAGACAGAGTCAAAAAAGGTTTGTGTCATTCTGAAGATGTAGACTGTGTACCCCAGCTTGTTAGAACATCTGTACAGCTGCATAAAGAGCTGTTGCTTCTTGCCTGCCGCTGTAAATGAGTATCGGCCTCTCACACACGTCTAGGTCAGACTTGCCTTGCTTATTCCTAGACAGGACAGCAGGATTTGAAGTTTGTACTGTAAACAGTTATCAGTGGGAAGGTGCACAGCAATTTCATTTTCTACAGTAAGCAGCAAAGCCTATTTGCTTTCAGTACTGAAGTCTTATTTCATCTCTTCCCCAGAATCCCCTCCCTTCTGATTTTCAAGTGGAGTTTCTAACTATGTTTTGTTTCCTAAATGAAGGAAGAAAAGCAGAAGAAGAAATTAAATGCAAAGCTGGAGTTAGCAAAGTTCCTGCAGGAGACCATTGCAGAGATGGCCAAAAGGAACAAAGCAGATACAGGGCAAGGAAAACAATTCTCCTCTTATGTACACCAGGTAAAAGGGGCTGTGCTGGGGATGACAGCAATGGTACTTATACCAGCTTAGTGCTGCTGTTCGGGCAGAGAGTATGGGTTTCGTATAAAGATTGCAGAGAGATTTGACAGCACAGAGCTGTCCTGTCAGGTTATTGTTGACTGGGTACCCTCTTGCAGCTAATTCCAGGCTGACACTGGCTTTTGACCCCATCTGTCAGAGCTGTCTGTACAGACAAGCATTTCCATCCTGCAACAACAGTGAAAGTCTTACCCTGTGAAATCCTATAAGCCGCCACCCAAAACCACTGTTTTACTTTGGCCTTTTGACTATAGCATTCCGTTTCTATCGAGAGATGGGAATTCCAGTGCGGGAAACAGGAAGGGCTCTTTCCTCAGAGGGGGAAGAGGATTCACAAGCTGTGATCCTGCTCTGGTTTGGCTTTTGGCCCTGATGCCTCTGCGTTGTTTAGATTCGTCACACCGGCCATCAGCCCAGTACCCAAGAGATCGTACGCTTCTCCAAGCTGTTTGAGGACGAGCTGACCCTGGAGCACTTGGAACGGCCGCAGTTGGTGGCTCTTTGCAAATTGCTTGAGCTGCAGCCCATTGGCACCAACAACCTGCTCCGCTTTCAACTTCTGCTGAGACTCAGGACAATCAAGGCGGACGATGAAGTAAGTTTAGAACAGCGCAGGCGCACTGCTTTGGTGGAATGCGCGCTTTCCGCAGTCTCACGTCCTGCCCTCTGAATTGCAGACTGCCTGCTTTACATAGGGCGTGTGGCACTGCCCACGCTCCATCCGCAGCTGTGAAGTTTGATAGTGGTGGGAGTGGGATTCTCTCTGTGAGAGATTCCAGAAAAAAACAGAATGGGAGTTCATCTTCCTGTGCCCTTGTGTCCTTTGGTGAACCCCAATGAGTGGGGCACTGCAGATACTGTCACTGCTTAGAACACCCTTCTATTTTTATTCTGGAGTCATACTAACTTGTAAAAAAAAAAAAAATCCGATTCTGGAATAAATAACTGTATGAAGATGCCAGATTTTATGAACTAATATAAACTGATACTGAATTCAGTTTGTTAAAGGGGCTGGCTTTATTTAGCCTGGAGAAGGCCAAGGGAGAATCTGCTTGATGTTTTCAAACGCCTAATGGGGTTATTTAGAAAATGGAACCAGACTTGCAGTTGCAAAGGACAACAGGTAATGGTCATAAATTGCAGCAAGGAAAATTCCAGCATGATAAGAAAAGAAAAATAATCAGCGAGTGGGTAAACAGTGGAACAGGTTGTCTAGAGGTTGTGAAATCCTGTCCCTAGAGAACCTCATAGTATAAATGGAAAAGGCTGAGCACTGTAGAGAAACTTTTATGTTAACCCTGAGCACTGTAAAGAAACTTATGTTAACCCTCTTTTGAGCTGGAGGTTGGACCTCCAGAAGTCCCTTCCAGCCACATTTTATGATGGTGTTAGAACTGAAATTTGAAATGGTGTTAAGAATCCTATTATGACACGGAGGAAAGACCAGAAAACTTCTTGCTACTAAGAGGTGACTGGTTCTGAAAGGCACGTGCAACTAACCACAGGTTCAGCTTTAAAGCCTGCAATCTTGACTGTTCTCAGGGTTACCTGTCTTGGAGTAAATTCTTCAAACCTATGTAAAAGTGAAATTCTCAGTATTTGGGTGGGGCTGTGTGTGAATAACCAGGATCAAAGTTTTTCATCCTCTGTAGCTGAAGACTCAGCTTTCAAGGACAGAATGCATTAGCTGCAGAGTCAGCTCTGTCATCTTCCTAGTGGTGTGACTTCAGGCACGTTTACCTGAACAAATATTTCTCTGGTCTCAAGCTCATCAAGTACACTGGGGTTTTGGCTTTCTCTGTGCCTAGGTAGGAACGTTCCTTTTCATTTCAGATGATTGCCAAGGAAGGAGTCAATGGCCTAAGTGTGTCTGAACTGCAGAGTGCATGCAGAGCCAGAGGAATGCGGTCACTGGGTCTCTCAGAGGAGCAACTAAAGGAACAGCTCAGACAGGCAAGTGCGCTCTGCTCTGGTCCTGTTAGGCAAGGTTTCTCCCAGGACAGAGCAGTGCAGCATTCAGATGGAGCAGGCACAGTTTCACTAAGAATTCATGCAAGTGTTTCTAGGTGGATCCTCACCTGCATAGCTGAGCTTTAAGGCATGAAGTATCCAGATTCAGTCTTAGACTAAAGAGAAAACCAGGTAGCATCGGGGCCAGCTGGAAGCAAGATGAAGTCGGGGGGGGAAAACACAGAATATGTTTTAAGCTTCTAAAGTAGCCAAGACTTGTAGTAGAGCCAACACTAGTAATTTATAAACATTCAAACAGATTACAGATACTGCTGTAGGCGCTGTATTTCAGATAAGCTGTAGATAATTCAAAGTACTCAGCTTTCACTGTTGGTCAGGAGTGACGTGGGTACCTCATTAGTAGCTGGAAACTTCCTCTCTAGTCTGTATTCCATACAGTATTCTTAACTCTTCAAAACTGTTTCTTCTCATTGTGCTGACTTAAAACTGTATTAGCCAAACTCAAGATAGCTTTAACATCTTTAAGGACAAAGAGTGCTGTATCAATAATTACAGACATAGAGCCAGTATGAAATAACTTTCCCTTCTGTTTTCTTCTAACAGTGGCTGGATCTGCATTTAAAAGAGAATGTTCCACCTTCTCTGCTCCTACTTTCCCGTGCCTTGTACTTAATAGATGTAAAGCCACAATCTATTCCGGTTCCACAAAATAAGGTGAGTTGTGTGAATAAAAAAAAAAACCCTTTCAGGTTAATAGTTTAACCATTACACATTATAAAAATGAAGCACCGTGACATGAATCCTGTTCTTTGATCCTCCAAGTGGACTGAAGTTATGACTGTACTGAACCATGAAGTTATGACTGTACTGAACCACGTGTTCTCCCATAGACAGGTGAAACTGCTGAAATCACGACACCCGTTCCTGGAGGTCAAGAGACCCTTGTGGATCCTGCCCCCATTGTACAGGGAAGAAAGGTCAGAAAATAGCAGTCTACAAGCAGGAAAATGAGTCTGTAGTGCTGTAATCTTTGGGAAGAGCACGTGACCAAGCCTTTCCAAAACTAGACAAAAAAGTGTTTGACACCGTTGCACAGAGCACATAAGCAATGAATATTCTTGCACTGTGTACATGGTTTTGCCTGAGAGCCTCACAGTTGCGTACTCTGACTTAAGAGACAACGAAAGGGTGCAGAGGTCTGCTGTGGCACATCTTGTCCTGTCGCTGCAGACAGCTGGCTGGTCAGTGCCATCTTACCGGCTTCCAGCAAAGGAGCACTCACAAGCTCTGAGGTTGCTGTACCCGCGTAAACCAGAGACTTCAACCCAGGTGCATTTAGCTCAGGGAAGCCAGTTACAGGGGACTTGTTCTCAGCTCTCCTGGCGAACTTGGGTGGAGTTGTCCAGGCCAACGAGTACCAAAACATCTAGAGTAAGAAAGCCAGAGCACACGGTTCTCAGCATAAGGCTAATGTGGATTCCTTAAGTTAGTCCAAGCTGATAAAGGCAGCAACAGAAGTTACAGGACAATATTGCATCAACTGCTAGAAACATTTCCAAATGCTCTGTTAGGTGGCGTAGGGGAAATGATGGAAATGCCGACATAGAGCTTTCACAAACACATTGCAGGGAACAGCCTTGCTCAGAAAGGAGAAGGGACTGTATGCAGGGCTAGCTACAGCTTTGTTTTCTGAGAGAGTTCTGTGACTTAAAGCTGCTTTTTCCTTAAAGAGTGAAGAGTTTGTATCTCAGCCACCAGAGAAATTGCCGATTTCAGCAGTGTCTGTGAAGCCTCCCCCACGAGAGGTAAGCTTTTCAAAACTCTTAGGCTTCCCAAAGGAGATTGTTCCTCACACAACTTACAAACTACGGAGAGTTGTGCTGCAAGGTGTTGTGGTGTTAAGTTCAAGGAGTGACTGGAGAAATTGTGGACAAGAGCTGCATTGCAGGCTGTTAAATACAGAAATATCATATGTGACTGCAGCAAATTGGGGAAGGTGGCAGAACATTGTGGGGAATTACCAGTATGTCCCTTCCTCACACTCCTTAATAACCTGCTTTGGACCACTAGGATAGAGCAGCCTTCTGGCAGAACCACCATGGTGTTAAGTGCCAGTTTATAAAAATATTTCTACAGTGACTTGCCTTTTCTTCCACCCATTTTCCTTCTGTGAATGCTTTATTTCACACTTTATTGCCCACTTAAGGCAAGTTTGGGAGTTCGGGCTGACTCTTACCGACAGGAGAACACTCCTTTACCCTGAAGAACTTTGTTCTTAAGTCAGCTGTTGTTCTCCAGAGCAGCTTCCTGTATTAAATGGGAAGACACCTTCTTCAAAGAGAGGCTTTGGCTTTTGAGAAGCATTTGTATTGGTACTGCCTAAAATCTGCAACTTGCTCTTGCACCCTAGGCCAAAATGGAAGCGTCTCAGAGCAGCAAGGCCGGCGCCAACGGAGCCTAGCCCGAAGCCAGCAAGGACTGCCTAACACTGGGAGAGAAGAGCTTTCATCTCTGCACCCCCTTAAAAGGGAAGAGTGACTTTTCCAGGAGCCTGCTTGACACAAGAAGGTGTCAGTAGCCCTCGGGGGCCTCTTTGTCTATTCCAAGCAACTCAACCAGGCTAAGGCTGTCTGGGTGGCACCGGCTGCTCGTGTGGACTGGATCCCCTACCCCCACCACTTTAACTTATGCTGTAAATATGTTAATAATGATGCTACTGTCTGTGCTGAAGGGGCATTTGTGCTCTTAAACCTTAGGAAAGGCAGCTTTTCACAGTCCTAAAGGCCCAGGTGCAGAACAAACTGGGCTGGAAGTCCAGTAAAGCCTGTTCTAGTTTGAAATCCTCTGCAGGAACATACCCACAAATCCAGGACTTGCAGCTTGCCCTGCTGCCCCAGCTTTACAAACTTCAGCTCTTGATCCTAGTTAGCGTGGTTTAACCAATAACGAGTGCACAGTGACCCATGTATTTAACTCACTTTCGTACCAAGGAGAACAGCCACGGCAAAGGGAGGACCAATGCTCTCATCAGTGGCATGGCTGAACTGTTCAGAAAGACTCAAGAACTTGCTGGAGAAGAGCAGAGCAGCGAGGAGGACAGCTTCCACCGCACGAGCGTTTGCATTTGTCAGTGGGAGCCACAGCAGGGGCCAGACCCTGTTACAGAAGGCAGAGACGCATCTTTAGCATCCCCCTGCATCATGCGAGGTGGCAGCCACACGCCTTTCCCCAAGTCCAATGTAAGACTTGGTTAAACCTTCCCAGGCTCAGAACTGCACATCAGCAAGTGCTCCCAGACTTTACTGTGCTCTGCACAGGGATTCTTCACACACTCCAGCGCTGGCTAGGTTTTTGGTAGACTCTTTAGGAGGATACGGAAAAGCTGTTTTTAGCATTTGGTAATTTTTTTTACTCTGTCCTATGTAAATGTTCATAAATTACTCACATTATGGATTTTAAATATGTCTATTTATACTTACTGTAAAATAAGGGTTAGTCTTGGTGCTAAGTAGAATGGAATGTCTTTTCTAGAGGTCAGTCAGCCTTTAGAACAAAGCCAGTCGTCTCAAGGTCAGGCGTTATCAGCACTTTAACCGTGACTTTGGGCTCTTTCTAGCGGTGCAGAAACAGCTTGCAGATGGCAGCTACCCCCGTACGGCGTTCGTGGTCCCGTACCTGCCCCCCGCCTTGTTAGCCAGTATGCAACGCTGAATATTTGTATTTAATGGGTGATTAGTAAATCAGAACAAACATCACTTCAATAAAATAACCCTGTTGCTCAAGTGTCACTCCTGCCTCTGTGTAGCACGGATGAGATGTGGCTGGTAGCCATTGCCTTGCTGGCAGACAGAATAGCCTTTGGCTAC